TGATTGTAGGATAAAGGACTGCTGTGTCAAGAACACCTGGTCAAGAGCACCTTGAATTCCTTCCTGCCTCCCCAGTGGGTTAAGTGTAGCTCACATCACATCAGATGCATGGGACAGGATTTTGTCTCCTCTGAGAGCTGGGATTTTCAAAGGTGTTTTTTGGGATCTAAGAGCATAAATTTTGCAAATTTCCTAAAGGGATCTCCATTCATAAATGCTGGAATCTGTGGGAAATATGTCTTTGAAGAATTTTTTCCTCCTGATTTAGAATGTTAAGTTCTAGTATCTAAACACTGGTTTCCTTAGTGATTTGAACACTGCTAATACCATCTGCTTGTCTTTCCAACAAATTGTCACTCAGAGTAAACTCCAACTTTAACTAGTGAAGACAAATTACTGCAAAGTTGCCCTTCTCAAGCTTGGGTGAGAGTAATTAGTAATTAAGACAATCTCCTCCTAAACAAACATGCAAACTTTTAGCAATAGTAATAACTTTCTTTACAAGTCATACCTCACCAACATCTACAATTTTTTCATGCAATTAAAATAATTATCAAACTATACACATTTTTTTCTTAGAGTAAGATCCTGTTTGTGTACTGATCTCTGTTACATTCATTTTGCTTCTCTTCCTTTAATTTGACCTATTCAGTGATCTGATAAGCACCAGCTATTTAAGAAGTTGTGTATGTGAGTGAGAGACAGTAGCTGTGTCCACATGGAATAAAAGCCATTGCCTTGCTGGAAAGGGTTGTTTACAGTAAGGTTCTTTTAAACCTCATCAGGACTATGAGCTGACAGAAGATAAGAATGTTACAAATTTACTAGACTTGTAGTACTCCTAGGTATGGAAATCACCTTTCAGGAAGAGCAATATAAAGAGTCAGCTTCTTTCTGAAAGAGACAAAATCTGAGGGGCCTCTGCCTCAAAGTCATGGGGAAAAGCGGAGTACAAAGTATGCCCAAAGAGTAGAAATTGGCTGAAATGGAGTGTTGCCTCAGGGAAGGTGAAGTAGAAGGAATAAGCAAAAACTCAGAGAAAAAGGAGCAATTAGCCAAGAATTAGCAGAATAAACATTAAGGAAAATGAGGTATTGAAGTGATCACCTTGTAGTTGACATCTTAATATACTATAGAAGCATGGAATTATGAAGGTTGGAAGAAACCTTTAAGAACATGAAGTTTAATTGCAAACCCAGGACTATCACTGTAACCCCTAAACCACTAAGCCATATCACCCAGCACCAGATGCAGATGCCTCTATAGTGACCACTAGTTACTATAGTGATTTCTGAAATGATTATTTTACAATATTCAAAGCATATCACAAATAAGAAAAAAACCAATTTTGGTTGTATTTGTTTATAGACAGCTATAGCCATATTTATATGCATGCTTTAAATAAATGGGAAATGTTTATGCATTTAAATCCAAATTCTTATGAGTTTAAAAGCTTAGGTTACAAGCTCAGCAAAAATGTGAGGCAAGAGCTGCTGCTCACAGTGCAATAGCTTCTGACATCCCTTGCTATTCACAAGACCAGGCTGCTTGTAGCACTTTGGGCTGTGTGGTGACGTGGTTCAGTAAGGACTTCTGTAAGTGTATTACAGTTGCTCAAGGAAGGCAAAGCCACACAATACCAACATGCACTGACTGCTGAACTCAGTAGGGCTTTGGCAGTTCAGCTCTGTAACCAACCCACACACCCCTGCACTGGAGGAGAGGCCAAAGAAGGGCAAACCCCAGTGAGGCCAGGGAATAATGTAATATAAAGGAAGGTGAATTTGGATATCAGGTAAACTGGACGGTAACCTTGGTTTTAGTTACAGACAGTTGGATCAGTGAATCATCAGGTTCCAAAAACTAATAACAAAGAGCAATGCCTTTGTGACCAGCCAGACCCACACTGGGGGATGGGGGTGGTGGGGCGGTGCACAGGTAGCTTGGCACAAAATAAAGCATAAAAATTGGATAAATTATACATTTTGAAGAAAGCAACAGGCTTGATCTGGCTTTCATCCATTTATTCTTTCTTAGTGACTGGGGATGCAGTGTCAAGACAGTGAGCATACGAGGACCACTAATGAGAATCAAACTACAACAAAGATTTAACTACAGCTGAATATTGCAACTGCTATATTAAGCTTGTGCTGTGATTTCAAATGATTTCTGTATCACTCTGGTAAATTGAACTGCCATGTAATGCCAACTATACCAAATAAGTAAATTTGATATTAAACATTAAACACTCTTATGTGGAATATCTAAAGGCAGCCAGTCAGAGTACTGGGATTTGACAAGCTACCAAGAAGTAAATTTTGCATCTATAAGGTGTGGGATCTTTTGAGTCCTGCTGATGTCTGAACTGAGGAGAAGCTGTGATCTGGGAGCTGCTGCTAATTGTCAGGGATGTAAAATACTTTGCATCTGCTAAAAGCAGTGACTATTTAGCTATTATGCTCTTTGGAACTTGTATTCCATATGAAGCTTCCAAAGAAGTGGTGGACCTATTCTGAATAGGAAACAGTAGTATTGCAATAGAGGACCACCATTCACAGCTTGAAAAAAGAAAGAACATATATTAAAGCACCCTTTACTGTAACAAATTAAGGACTCATGTTCAAATGCATCTGCAAAATGCAAAGAGCAATTACTTACCTTCTTTCTAGTAAATAGAGTTTACACAGCCTTGTCCATATACATTCTGCAGCTTTTGCCACAGTTATTGGCAGAAGGTCCTGAGCTGTTCAGTAAGTGGAACAGCTGTATCAAATTCAAACTAAAAAGTCAAGCTAAAATTGTTTATAGCCTGTCTGTATGCAGAGATATTGCCAGGATATATGCATGCACATACACACAGAATACAGTTCCATAATCTCTCCTTCTTATGGGAGTACTCATGAAAAGCAGAAGTTGTTTTTCCTTTGCTAAAATGCATGGTGAAGTGCCTTGTGACATCTGAGAGAGCACACATTCATGTAAGGTGGTACATACATCATCTGAAATTGCCTGGTCCTTAAATAGGTCCATAAAGACAGCAGAGAATGGAAAAAAATTCACAAAAAATACAATGACATCTGAAATGTACAGAGAAACAATTTCTACATAGATTTGTGGTTTGGGGAAGACAAAATATGTGGGAATTGCTTACTTTTAAATAACAACATTTCTTAAAAAACGACCCAGACCTTTAGACTTGTATGAAGAGGGTTAGATTATGCTACTCGTGTGAACATTATGGAAGACAGATTATGGTGGAGAAATAGTGTTAAAAGACCACCTAATTTTTACTCTGTTTTCTTATCACTGACTGCAGTAAATGCTGCTAAGCAAATTTTCCTTTAAAATGCAATATGGGATTGAATGTCCTATCTTCCCTCCATGTTTACTCCCCCTTGCACCTACCTCTAAAAATTTGGAATAGATCAGAAAAACCTGATGCAGCAGTGGAGAAAGATAAAATACATCAGTTTAACAGTGGACACAAGTGACAAATCACTTCATACAGGGCCATAGTTGTGAATTCAAGGAACTTTTGTGAAATACTTATCTAATAAATGAGAAGATAGGTAGAAACCACAGAGTATCTACCTATTGAAAATATGCAGCTTCTGAGAAGAGTTCAGATGGTTTCCTAGAAAGGGGTAGCTAAGGATACAAATCTCTCAGGATTGATTGACATCTTTTACAATGTCTGTCAAACTGATTTTGTCAGCAGGTATGATGGATTATAACAAGTAGTGGTAACCTAAGATATTTTCTCAGGTAGTTTTGGTACTAATAATCTACTATACTCACTAATGCTATATAACTTTCTGTTTCTTGCTGTGTGTGTCTGAAAGCTTCTGATAAAATAATAACAACAACATAACACATCTTTAGCACTGATAACAGAACTATTTTGTTTAGGCTGAGTTGCATAAATACTCAAAAAGTAAGACACTGTCTGTTACGTATGGCATCTGTTTTTGAGATCATGCAGGGAAGGATCTCCTGATTTTTCCAGAGTTCTATATGAATCATGTAGGTGGCTAAGTGTCCTGGTTCCAGCCAATACAGGGTTAATTTTTGCAGTAGTCAGGAGAGGACAGAGTCTAGGACATGGAATTTATTCTAGAATGCCTCTGTCATTTTCTGGGTGTGGGGAGAGTCTTTTATTATTAATACTGCTGCTGTTATTGGTTGTTTTCTTATCTCATTGCTGTTCACAGTAATTTGTTTTTCTCTCAGCCTGTGATCTTTGCCTTTTGTGCCCCCAATTCTCCTCTTCAGCCCTCCACAGGGAGGAAGGGAAGAGGGAGTGAGTGATACTCTGATATCATCAAATAGTCTGATGGCACTGATGTCATTAACACTGAGCTAAAGGCAGACCCAGTAGTTTGTTCTAAACAGGCTGTGCCCTTGCTTTCAGAATTTGCTTCCTTCAAAAGCAGAGGTGCTTTGGTGAATCAGAATTGCTGCTGGTGGGTCTGCTTTTGAAGAGCTGAAAAAGTAAATATTGATAAAGAATGTCATATTTGACCATACTTCCACAATCAAACTGTGAATTTTCACACGTGTTAGAACAATTATTATTTGCTTGTAACTTCTAAAACACAATATCAGAAAAGTAAAAATAGAAGTTCTGAAGTACTTGGCCGACACTGTTTTGCTTGTTACTGTTTGAAAGTATTAAATACTAACATGTTAAGTATCCTCATCTTACCAATATTGTGTCACTTAGCCTATACAGAGGCTATGAATTTTTGAGCTCTTGAGATTGCCTTTCATTCTGGTTGAATTATGCTCAAAAATATTATTTGCTGCTTAGTGATATATCATGGGTACAATACATGGTCAAATAATTTGTTTGCTTACTAAAAGGTAAAAAAAAAAGTTATTTATTCTCAATTTCTACTATTATATATAAATTAATTTTGATGCAACATAATTCAATTAAAAAAGTTCTTGTGAATTAGAAATAATGTAAATTCTTAGTTTTTATAAAAGAGGCTGTTTCTTCACATTGTAATGGACATGGTGTCCATAAACACCTTTTTGGGCATCCTTTTCAACATTTCCTTTACTTGATCTTGATGGTAGAATCTATAATACCATAAGTATTTCTTTTTTATAGCAAAGGACTAGCTGGATTGTGTGACTATTGTCAAAAGCCTCAAAATAGCATCAAAGGTATTAGAATGTTTTCTAACTGATCATTTAAATTGTTAGCAAAAATGAGTAGTAGGTGGTACAAAAGGATTGTATTACTGGATAATGGCTAGTACTGTGTAAATTGATTCAGTAGGTGTAATATTCTGACCATGCTGTTGTCAGCAGAACACTACTGTCAGGAACAAAGTATGCAAAGAGGATTTACCTATGCCAGTACAGGTAGTAGCACTGCATCTCATGGGAGAGAGGTGACTTGTACAGTACCCCAGTCCTTGCATTCTGTATCTTTGTTTTCAAATGATTCAAAACTGAATTGGAAAGGAATGAAAAATAAGGTGATGAATGTCACTAATGATTCTAAGCAGAGTACAGACTGTGTTTGCCTATGAAGAGTTGCAGAGGGATGTCATGGTATAATAAGACTGATTATGAAAGAGCAGGTGAAATTCAAAGTGGTAAGTGAAAAGGTGTAAGTCAGAAGTGTAATTTTTCATGTACAGTACTGTCTGCCTATGCAGCAATACTGAGCTGTGTTCCAAGGGTGAGGTGAATGCACAAAGCCCTCTGCATCAGGCAAGGGTAACCTGGCCGCACCAGCTGGATGAAAAAGCCTTTTCAAGAACACTCAGTTTGGAGGGAACTGAGGAGGGGCTCTAAATACAGAGGTCAAATCATTCTCTTTGTGATAAAATGGGGACTGGTACTGAAGGATTCATAGCTATCTCTTACCTGAATTTTGCTCTGACTGCATTACTGTTGTCACACAGTCCAGCTTATACATTTAAAATGTACATACAGCTGTATATATGCAATAGTCTGGCATTTCTTCATACAATAAAGATATTTTTCATTCAATTCCTTGCAGAAATCAAATCTTCTTGAAGTTGTGTACAATGACAAGCAAACTTCCTTGCAGATTTAAAGGATATTTTACAACACTTACTTGAATTTTTTTGACAGCTGACCTACACTGCCTTTAAAACATTTAACTTCTTAATTTCCAGCCTACTAGATTTTGACTTAAAGTAGTTAGATACAAAGCTCCTAAATGATCACAGTACAAACTGACAACACTTGCTGTTAGTCTCAGATCTGGCAAATGTTTCCAAACACACAAAACTGAAATACAGGAAACAAATTAGAAATAAATAATCACATGAAGAGAAGCAAAAGTTGTGTCGCATAAGATGATACACAGTGGAACTGAGGTTCAGTGCTTCAGTCAGATCTCTTGCTTTGGCACACACCTAAAGAAACACTTTCAGAGCAAACTGGCAAGGGGAAGAAAAAAATCTTTTCAAAGCAAATAGGCAAGTTAACAAAACAGAATGTTTTTTTCCCAAGATACTTGAAAAGATACCATGTACATTATCCTGCAGTGGTCATTGGAGTGGAGACTTACATGTAATAAATTCAGGAAGGTTCTACAAGAATAAAGGGCTTTGTATCTATATACTTATCTATAGACTGGAAAACATAGGGCAAAAGTAATGGTAAAATTCCCATTGATTTCAATAATCTTCTGTACTCAATTTCCTTCTTCCTAAGGTATCAGTACACACCTCCCTCAGTGAAATTTATGTATGTACGTTGAACTTGATAGGTTTCTTTGTATAGTAGAGGTGCAGTTAGCCAAAGGGATTTTGTCTCTCACAGAGCTTTCATCACACAAAAATGACACTTTTTATTCTCCTTCATGGCAAAACATAGTACCAAAACATTTAATTAAAATCAGTTCTTGGATTGGTGAATCACTGTTCTGTCACAGAAAGTGTCTTCTAAAGAGTTCTCTCCTTATACAGGCTACTTTTTGTCAAGTGAAGAGATTCATTAAAATACAGCTGAATTAAATCTATACTTTCCTGATATCATCTATATAAGCCAATGTTATGCTAGTATGTTATATTTAGCACACTGCAACAACTGGAAGGGGAGAGAATCTCTCTGTCAAGATTCAATCCATACAGTAACAATATATGAGTTATTTAATTAAAGCCATCTGCATTCTGTAGCAGATGAACAAGGAATATATGTTATATGACTGATGAATTTGCTATGTCCTTTGATGACCTCTCAGCAAGTAATGAAGCATAACTGCTCATGCTTAGCATGGTCACAGACTACACTTTCCTTGTTTGTGTGTCGGTATCACCATAATGCTTTGTCTGGAGCCTGCTGCTCTTCAACTGGGTGAAGGATTGTGCTGGATTCTGCCAACTACACAACTAAATAAGCACATTACTACTGCTTTCTACAAACCCTCTCTCTTTATTAAGTATTCTAACGTGGAATTTTGCTCAGAGCTAACTAACAGGAAGAATTAATGTTTCTGTAGAGAACATGTTTATGATAAAACAATATTAACAAAGTATGTGTGAAGATTGGCTAATGCAGAAGCTTTTTCGTGTAGCTGTCATGCCATACTTCATGGCAAAAGTAGGTTTAAATTCTGCACCTGCCTTTGGGAAGAAAAGACTTCCCTTATCACTCATGAAGGTGACTGAATGACTGTACACACGTATTTGCTTTTACAATTTTTTCATCTTCAAGATTTAATGATTGAAAACAATTGCCTCCATCACTAGATAGCCACACCTGTTAAATAAATAGCACTCAGAATCATTACATATACTTAGAGGCAGAGCCACTGCAGAGATTGCTTTTTAGTTAATTAATATTTTCTGAAAAGACTACCTGTCTACTTCATCAAGTGTAAAAGTGCCATTTATTTTCATAATTGTCTGTAAACAACTGTGCATAGACTAAACTGGCTGGACGCAGGATGTCATTTATAAAGAAACCTCTCCCTGCTGATTTGAGATTTCTTTGTAACAAAAACTGATTTACAGACAGCTTCATCAGTAGTCTCTACAAAAGCCTAAAATGAAAGATCTCCACACTAAAGATCAATTTCTACTGATGTTATTGATGGTGAATAACTATTATTTTAGAAATTTTTGCAATTTAAATGAGACCACTGATAGAAATAGTACACACCGTGCAAAACAGTGTGTCCAGTAATTGAAAATGCGTGAAATTAATAATTTTGAGCTTGGTTTCTCTGTAAGTTCCTCTGAAACTTTGCCAAAACAGTTTTAACAGTTTTGGATTTTGACCACTTACATCTTTACTACATAAGGGAAAAAAAAAGGAAAAGGTTATGTTACACTTAAATTCAAAATTACTTTCTTTTTATACATACCTCATTTCCATAAACAGAGAGAAATTACTATGTGAAAAAGCATTCCACGTGGCAAAAATCTGGTGTTTGGAAATACAAACCTTGGCAATGTGGGTTTCCAGTTTGTGGCCTCCTATACTGTAAACAGTAACCATGGACTTGTGCTGAAGAAATACAACACATTAAGCATTAACAGGTAGTAGCCTAATGGCCCTGCAGCTTATTATACAGACCACCAAGAAAGTAAGAGTAGACTATACTTAAGCTAGGAATGAATTTAAAGTCAGGAGAAGGCAAATACTGCACATGTTGGAGAAGGAAAGCTGGAAATAAAAAAGCTTCTTTTTCTCAAGATCTGAGTAACGTTGCTTGCCATGAGCTATCCGGGAAAGGCTCCTCATCCCTCCCAGCCGTGCCAAGCGTCGCAGCTGGCCCTGGATGCAGCAGCAAGTCTGTGCACTAGGCGGCGCTGCACAGCGAAACGATCATTCTCTGACAAATAGAAAGAAATCACTAGTGATTGTATCTCTCTGACATAAAATAAATCTAGAAATCATGCAAGTTAACTTTCAGACAAATATAATAACAGGAAAAACGAATGGTTAATTTTATTTGTGTATAGCTCGATCACTTAAAAGTTTCTCAAGGCAAAAAAGATGGAATCTAGTTAGCACTCTGAAAGACCTCCAAGGAAATAGCACATGAATTATTCTCCTAGTCAGGAGACTGAAATGCCTGAACATAAACAAAAAGCTGCAGCACCACCACCCCCCACTGGAGATCTAATTATTCTGATTATACAGAAGATCAAAGCTTTGTTCATTCTGTTTAAAAACATCCCTTTGCATTCTTATAAGAATATTCACTGGTAACATCCCAGATAAATTCAAGTAGTTGCAACTAAACACCAGGGTTACAATTCAGAGTTGTTTGACCTACTCTAAAATGTGCTCTCGATCTTTTCTAGGCAACACATATTTGGTACATCCATTTGTCTGGAAGTTTCAGCTTCTAGCTTACCACTCTAAGCTTGTTTCTATTCTGCAATTCACCTCTTTGAAATAAATAGCTGCTACCTGCCACTATTCAGCTCACCTTCAATTAGTTATCATCAAGTTTCTTAGCACTGAACTTCAAAACACTGTATCAGGATTGAAGGAGTGAGAGTGAATGAAGGCTTATTTAAAAACATAATTTCTCTTGTAATGGTCTCTAGCTTTGAGAGACTTGCAAAGATGCCTAGCAGACAATACAAAGAATAAATGACAGGCAGGGGTATCCATATAGTCCTACAAGATCTGTGGCAACACCGGAAAATTAATGAAACAAGTGTGTCAGCATTGTCATTACAACTAATTTATAACTCATGCAAATCACATATGTACTGGGAAAAAGTGGACATCACCAGTTCTATTTCATTTTCAAGTAGAAGATGCAAGAATGGGTGTTGCTCATGATCTCTTTGTTGGGAACAGGCCCTGCAGGGTTATACACCAGTTAAAGCTTCTTTCTCATCTTCATGTTATTCTCTTCGTTTATGCTATATAAATAATAGCTGGTTTTCTTAGAAAAATACATGTTTTACCTTGAGAAGTTTTCTGCTATTCTTTCTTTGCAATTAAACTGATAAAACACTTCATTTACTTCATATATGAATAACTGATTGAATTGGTTAAATTCTCAGTACAGACCTTTTCTTTCCTTGAAAGCTGATGTGCTGTAGAAATTCTGGGATCAGAATAGCCATAATCTTGGTGCAAACAACCTTCTACACATCACTACTTTCAGGCTAAAGTTAACATATGCAAGTTAGGTGTTTTATGCAAAAAGACAAATTTATGAGTGGAACTGAGTGGAACACATTGAGGATCAAATTGAAACTCATAGGTCGCAATTAACCGAAGATTAAAAATACGTATTTTTCAAGGTGGAAATTTAAGTTTCATAACCAAAATCAGAGTGCAAGACTGATAGCTAGTGAGCTTGCTACTGGTACAGAAAAGAAACTGTGGTGTAGTCAGTGCTGTGGCAGGCTGAATTTACACTCAAAATACACACAAAGACTTCTGACTACAGAATCACAGAAGGGCTGGAGTTGGAAGAGGCTGCCAAAGGGCACCTGGTCCAACACCCCTGTTCAAGCAGGACCACTTTGAGTTTATTGCCCAGGACCATGCTAGGATGTCACGTCCGACAGCAAGTGCATGTTTCCAGTTATATTTTTCATTGAAAAACCATGACAAGTATATGACTGATCATAAATTTTGAGATCACTCACTACCAGTCACATTTAATTAAATAATTCTGTTCAGTGCATTCCATCCTTCAGTTAAAAAATTTTGTAAATCACATACTACAAACTAGTTTGTGTGATAACTTCTCTCAACAGACTAAACAGATACTTAATAATACTATTACTTCAATAAAGAATGTGCATATAAAAGAAAAGTCTATGCCTAAGAAAATCTAATTTTTAAATAACATGTGGTCATCACCAATATCAAAACAGTAGTCTGCCTCTCAAATGTGAAATAATGTACAGTAAGGTTACTAGCACAGAAAAACATACATTACATTTTAAATTTGCTACTGGTAATGCCTCTCTGATACCCAGATCCCCCTAAGAGTAAAGGCTATTGACTCTGTCTCCTTTCACCCCTTGGACTAGCAGTATTGCCTCAATGGCTTCAATCACTACACAGCTGAAATTCACCTGCATTTCACATCTGACCCTGTGAAGACCAGCAGCAGCAGTTTAAAAATGTTGACAACCAGAGCTGCCTGCTGCCAATCTCGCCTCCTGGGGAGCTAACACATCTCATTTCACCTTGGAAACAATAAGATGTATGCTCACAGCCAGCTGAATGGAGGGGTCAGCAGTATCTGAAGCAGCCCTCACACATCTGCTTGCAATCATCTGCTCATCCTGTTAATTGTTATGAGGTACGTTATTCCCTCTGAAGGATTTATGGCAGGTTTTGTATACTCCAGGCCAGAGGTACAAAAGAACAAAATCTAAAGAGAATAACTAACACCCCTATTTTTTAAAGATATAATTTCTTTTAGAAGTATCCATATTTATCCTTCTATAGACAGTGAGTAAAGATCACAGCATCAGTCAGCTCTGAATGCTTAGCATTTTCTCTCTCTTACAGAACAGGGAGCCAAGTGTGGACAAGCAGGTTACTGTACCATAAACAGCTGTGCAGCAATACATTGCTGACATGACTACAGTTCTACCAGCTGGCCAAACACAAACCCATAGGAAAGCCTTAATCACAGGTGATGCCCTCCCAAGTTGCAAAGGAAAGAACTTCAAATACAGGGTAATAAAACCAGAAAATAATTGATCATCTGTGGCAAACATCCTGGAACAAAGTTCAAAATGAGGAAGTTCAACAGGTGGAAGCAGAAATTGAAGGAATAAAACCAGTAGTGACACTACTGCCCTGCATAGCCAATATATGCCCTGTACATATTAATGTAAATGTATACATACATACAAAAATAGATATTTATAAAACATCAGAACAGCCAAGTTCGTAAGTCAATGGGATTGCTAAAGTCACAACAGCAGTGAGTCTTCTACAGTTCTCACAACATACACATTAGAACATCTTAATATCTCTGTATTACAATGCTCAGCTCATAGAGTTAATAGTAATTGCAAGTAACACTTGCAAATATGTTAAAGTATTATAAAAATATCAGCAAGTTCCAATGTGCCTAAGAACCGGACAAGCTGAGTGTATTGGAGAAAATGAGACACCATGGTGAAAACTACTGTCCCTAATTAATCTAAAAATGCCTGTGACATAGCCAGGAAAATACTTTTGATCTCAGAATTTCAATTTCTGATATCAAACACTGATGCAAAGCACAATGGAAGTCTGTAAAAAGGTTTTTATGTATTACAGAACCTGATGGCTGGCTCTCTCAAAAATAAGATCATGCTGTTATTGTGATACCGGTACATTATCAGTGTAGGAGAACAATGCTTGCCAAACAGTGTTGTAAAAGCAATGATAAGCCAATAAAACATGACAATTAAAATAAACAGTGGAAAGTTGTGCTTAGTAAGGAAAACTGCCACTTAAAACAGCAGAAAAAACTACTTGAAGACTAAAATTAGAAATAAAAGAAACTTTTATATTAGAGAATTCTATTTCAAATAAAAGAAACCACTTAAGAGTAATCTTCTAAGTTTAGTTCTCACCAGAAAATTAATCATGAAAAAACCCCAACAGTCACTGGGAAATATAAAGAAGGTCATAGCCCATATTGCCAAATCAATTTCTTAGTCTCAAGGAAGCTGAGAGAGCTTTCCAAATACTTACTGTAAATAGCACACTCCTTCCCTATCACAGAAATCTAAAGGTCAGTGGTGTCCCCAAGTCTAATCTCTATAAGTTTCCATAAAATAGTTCTGGCTGACTTTGTATTTTCTAAATTTCTTGCTATTACTGGGTGTCCTTTTTTGCATTCCCAAGGCCTGAACTGCTTAGCAGCAGCAGAAGTGCCGCTTCAGAATAATATATGCTTCTCCCCCAGATCTAATCTAAAGGATCTGATGCTGAAAGAAAAAAGGGTTGTATAAGTCGATATTTGTGATAAGGAGTTCTTATATTGCTGCAGGTTTTTAAGAAGTGCAGATTTGTTCACTGTGAAATGGGTCATGACCACCAAGCATATTTTATAGAATCAAATACAAACCTGTAATTGGTAATTCTCACTGTTGTGTGCTTCTTTAGGACCAGTTGTCTAACAAAAGTTGACCACTCATGGTCAATCCATCAGCATCCAGCCATGCACTCTATTCACTAAACATGGATGACATCTGGAAAATTAAAGACATCTGTGTTTTAAGAAGGATTTGGCTTTCTCTCTACATATTTTTTCATCATACTTGACCCTGCAGCAAAATTCTAGCAGCAAAGCTCATTTTGAAAACATGGAACACAGGATCACTGTAGACTCAACCAAATGAGAAAACAAATGTTAAGGAGATACATTTCTCTTCAAATACACTTAGCTCCAGAATTAGCAGAGGCAACATGGGAAGTGCTTGGCTTAGTACATCCATTTAAAAAGGAATTTTTTTGAAAGTTAATTCAAATGCTAATAAGTGTTTCTCAGCTAATGCTGGAATCATCATTAGATGGGGGAGAGAAAACTCTCAGAATGCCCTAGGTGAACTTCATCAGCCCAGTTATGTTCCATCCATTCTATAATTCTGCGTTAAATTAAAAGAATTTTTTTTGCAGTGAAGCATTTGAAATTTATGAACCTTCAAACTGTTTTTGGAAACATTAGGAGATGGCAGGTTACTGTTACCTCTTATCTTAGATTCAAAGTTTTCTGGGAGAGGTATTGCCTTGTGTGTCTTTAGCTGAAACTTGGCAGAAGAGGCCTGCTCCCTGCCTGGCCCTCATCTGTGACCACTGGGTCAGTCAAGGGAAAATTTGCCATTGGCTTCAATGGGCAATAAATAAGACTCCTCAGTGATATAGAATATGGTCCTTAGGGAGTAATATCTGAAAAGAGGGTCTCAACAGGTTCTAAGCGTCTATTTCAAGAATAAAAATCATTTTAAGTGTCTCTCTTGTCAGTCTGGATGCTAGAAAGATGGAAAAGTCAACCCAGAATCCATCTGTTTTGCACATGTGTATTTGAATTGTTGAAAGCACAGGGCCATCAGTCTTCCTTTTCAAGTAACATGGAAACTAATTTTTTTCAGCAAATGAAATGGCACAACTAAGACGTATTTCTAAACTGTACTTTTCTTGGACGTATAAATTAAAATTAATACCATCCTGACTGTACATTTTGTGACCTTAAATGGAGAGAATTCCTTTTCAAGGAAGATCAGGAATTAATTCTGCCAAGTAGTATTAGAAATGGGATGGAAAGCAAGACACTGGCTTAAAAGCCTTCCTGGACAAAGGGGTAAATGGGAACTAGCCTAATGTAGTCTCTCTGTGTATCTTCTTTAGGTAAGAGAAGGTGGGCTGGCAAAGAGAAATATTTCCCCATTGATGTGTGTTCTGAGGTACGTCCAGAACAGTGATTAAATCTGGGTGTTTCCAGCTCATCAGGCAAATGCATCAGATGGCTCCTTACCAAAGACTCTGTGGACATCATAAATCCAGTTCTGTGCATTATAAATCAAAAGAGACTCCTTATTGATACCCTCTGCAATGAGGGAAGAAGCAGGTTCTCTCACCTGACTGAAGGCAGCAACATCTGCTGAAAGTGCCAAACTAATTTTAGAAGGTCTAATTACCTTTGAATCATCTCTAAGAGGATATAGGGCTACTTACTCACCTATAGGAATTGCTTTTGTTGGTCGACGACTCCCTGATAGCGATTGTTTCTGCTTGCAACTGTGGCAGTCCCTAGAGCGGTGTCAGTACTATGCAATGCCATTGTGCATGTCAGACTGGAGCTAACAAGCACTTGCTAAGCCCAAAGAGCCCAGTGCTGCTCAGCACCACTGTGAGGGGGCACAGGACCGCTGAAGGAGCGGAGATGGGTTTGGTAGCCCTGATGCATGCAGCACTCTGTGGGCCACCCCTGGTCCTGCCGCCTCAGACCATCCCCAGCCCTCCTGGCTTCCAATGCGGCTCTGGCCCCTTGCTCAATTTAACAGATACTAATGGTGTTAGAATAAATCAAACTCATCAATCTTAGTGTTTATTTCCCCCCAAAAAAAAAAAAAAAAAAAAAAAAAAAGAACAGCCGAGGAGCTTGGGAACAACCTGTGAACTGGCTCCGGAGCATGTCGATGTGCGCTCCTGGATGGAGCCGGAGCTGAGAAAGCAGCGGGGGTGGGTGGGTTTGTACTTCGAACAAACCGCAATAGGGCGGGGGAACTCAATCTGCCCTCAAACCTCCCGATTTATCCGAGGCCTAACACGCGGTTTCCCGACAGTTCTCCACAGCAGCCACTGCGTGGCAGGAGAGATCAAGAGGATATTTTATTTTCTGCGGCGGGCAGCCCTGGAGTGGGGGAGAGCGAGGCCGCCGGCGTGGGACAGGCGCCATCTTGTCTCCCTACGGGCGGCGTGTGGGGATGCGGGGTTCGGGCGCCGGCATCGGCGGGGAGAGAGCCAAGGCCCGCGGCCGGGTGTGCGGCTGTCTGCTGGTGGTTAACATTAGCGGGACGAAAGGACCCGGGAGCAGGCAGCT